ATTGAGGCAGATGGTGCTTGATGAGCTTCTTGAGGGGCTTATAACACAAGAACTTATCCCTCCATTCCGGCAGCGTTTCCTCCAAATGATTCTTGAAATCCTTTCCGAACTTCATCTCTCTCTCTCTCTCCCCCCTTCTCCTTCTCCGCCTCCTCCTCCCCCTTTTGTCCTCTCTCTATAATTCCGTAAATACCCCTCATACTTCTCACAACTCTTTGGATTAATTTACCTTTCTACCCTCCTCCTTTTGTATAATTAAAAACTTTCGAGGAGGTTGATTTTGAGCGTCTCGCGATGTGCCACTTGGATACCGACTCTCACTGAGCAGGCGTGATCGGTAAGAGTTATATGCTAGTTAGTTCTCTTTGCTGTTTGCTTGCTTGCGCATAATTAATTAATTAAGAAACTTTACGAGTAGTTAGTTGTTTCTTTCCCTCTTTCATTTGTCATCCTCAAATTCGTTTAACAAGATGATGACTAATAAAACTTACATAATTCCCCCGGAATCTTATGTAGTACAATACAGGAAAACTGCCTCCCGAGTCTCGTCCGGCTCTAAAACTATTCGAGAAGACTTTTGCGTAAGAACATGTATGAAACTACTACCTGCGTTGATATCGTCTAAAGCATAAAGTGACATAGCATCCTTCAAATAATACAATGTTTTTTTTTTAACATAAACATAGACATCACGATACATGTGATGCTTTCGAGTTTTAACAACCATGAAGATGAAAAATAAGGCAAGAGTATTCATTCTGTATTACAATATAGACTGGCATCACAACCCGCGGCATCTCTTCAACATTTACATTCGTCCTTATGTTTAAACACTCTTAACAGAGTTGTTTATTTATAGTACGCTAATGTAAAATTAAGCAGTGGCATCCTGAGCTATATTCATGCCAGCTAAGTTCCTGATCAGGTTCTTTGAAGAAGGCAACCCAGCAACCACATCCTCTTCAATCCCGCATTCATTTGTGCCCCTAACAATCTTGAAGTAACCATCCTGCACACGCGCAAAAAGAGAGCCCAATTTAGCGCATATCATGCATCTTAGGCAACACTAATTGGTTTAACCAGATAATCTATTCAGGCACTTACATCACCCCAACCTCTATTCCACTGATTTGCTAGAAGCTGCAGGAGAGAGAAAGAATCGAAATCAGACAGATGAGGTTAGAGGAGAACGAGGTGATAGAAAATTTGAGAAACACATACCCAATATTTTTCACCATCATCACTGGTTCCCCAACCAATCAACTTAACTGCGTGTCCACCCATGACATCGCCTGTAATATGTTTGTAGATCCCTGACTTATAATGAGCAAAATCCTGCAGATGGTAAACGAGACCAATTGAAGATATCCACATGACAAATTAATGTGAAACCAGTGAAACCAAAGTCAAGGATTTCATAAACTAGATATGGTTGTTTGCCATTTTTCTGTACCTCATAAACTGTGAAGGAAACTTCAACAGGACCATTCTTGTAGACCTCTGCCATAATATCCCGAGGATCAGAATTTATTCTGTAAGCATTAACACTGAAGTGCTTTGTTTCTTCCCAAAAAAGATTCTTCACTTTGCACTTCTTTTCGCACTGTGGTGTCGGATAGACAGGTTCACAGCCTGGATGGACACATCCAGCTTCATCAAAATATGGGTCACACTGCAGGAAGGTATATAATTGGGGTAAATTCATGTCATATATCGTTTAGGGACACCAAAAATTTCTTATATACTTCAGTATAAAAAAAGGCAAAGAAGATACGTAAGAAGAATAGCAGCTAAAAAAGTTAGCATATCTTACTTGCCAAGCATAATAAGAGTTTTGAGTGATATCCAATTTAAAGGCAGAAGTGTATTTAATTTGGTAGTATTGATTGGCTAGTCATGTAGTGAAAAAAAAATCTTGGGAAGGCAACTGTCAAGCTAGTAATTGGTTCCAGTGATAAGCTTGGCAACAGCTTGATCCGCTTAATCTATAGGTGTTACTACTCCACTTTTACGGGCATTAATTCACAAGAAGCTGCGGCTTTCACATATATAAAAAGGTCCAAATCAACTTTTGTGGTTTGCCACTTTATTAATTGTGTGCACAAAAAATTTTGTACAGATGTCAGTGATTTGATTAACATTTATAGGCATGAAGTTCTAGTTAAAAGCATCGATCTTTGAATTTTTAAAAAGATCCTGTCCAATGACAAATACTAGCACTGAGGAAAGTATATCCTTGGTGTGCACGACAGTCACATGACATGCTTAATTATCTTTTTTAGATTTCCTTCTGAATTAGTCATGTCCCAAATGGTCTGATGTTGGAACCTGCAGATTTACAACTATGACCACGATGTAATGGTTCCATAACACAAATAGAGAGGGAGGCATATACTCAAAATTCTTTGCTTTCCAAAGAGGAAGTGACTATGTTGTAAGGAATGGGTTTGATGAAGACTGTAAGAATTTTAGGGGTTGGTTGATTGTTTCCTTTGGAAAACAGGGTTTAGAAGTATCAAAACAGCCCCGCGCACAGTAGAAGGAAGCAGCAGCAACCATTAAGAAAAACTATATTCTTCCCACAAACACAAAATTCAAAATCCAGAGTCTGCTACCTCTTCCCCTGATGATAGATAAAGATAATGATGAAGGTAGACATAAAATAAGATAATTATGTAAAAATCACATAAGGTCTTTCATGAGTACTGAATTTGATGGAACCCTTAAATAAATCCAAAATTAAAAAGTTAGGTCTCCTTCTAATCTAGGAGAAACCATGAACAGCATTAGGCAATTCAAAAATGATGACACTCTCACCAAGTTTTACATGGTATTACATGAGGCTTTAGGTCAATGCAGCACATACGAACTGAGTTTCTTATGTCCCAACAAACCCAAGTCAAATATGAATGCTTTTGGCATGACCTAAAGCAAATACATCTATAGATTTGTTTGGGTGTTACAAATTGTTTTTCAGGCTAATATGTAAGTGGTCTTCTGCAAGGAAAATTAAAGAGACAAGAAAGGACTGCAGAGCAAGACCTTGACCTAATTGGGATTCAATTTTACAGATAAAAGTAGACTTGGGTATTGGAAAAGTTAATTATTTCACAGAGCAACTGTTGACTATACACGTTTATTATGAGAAGTGGTAAGTTGTCTTTCTGAAAATGATCTCAAATTACAAGCTTTTACGATAAGCTTCAGCTGGTTTGATCTTTCAAAGAGATGAGGATAACAACCAGCAGAACAGAAACATTTATATGCCTCTCTTCTAACCAAATAAAAATGGTATTGGAACATGATTTTAAGGCCATAGCCATTACTAATGCCTGAGTCAAGGCGGTTTTATGATGAGATCAGCCTATAATTCTTTGCATCCTACTATAACATGAAAATACTATGTTACCTCAACAAGGAAGCGTGTTACAATTGTACAAAATGGTGTGGTCATAAATATGGAATGAGACATGTTAGTTGTAATTAAAGATGCAATTGAGAAAGAGATTTTAACATATGCAATTACCTCATCAGTAACAACACCACTCTGCACAAAGTAGTGCCATGCACGTATAGGGTACCCTCCGTCGCAACCATCCCCACACATAAAACCACAGCAGGACAAGAGGTCATTAACAGAAAGAGAGATGTTCTGCAATGAAAAAGGCAGGTATAAGGAAAAGAACATAGAGTATTTGATTTTCAAATGAAACTAGGAAGTCAATAAAAGCTGCAGGGCGAGGTGATTATACCATGTTAAATTGGATACAGAAACGATCTGACAAATGATAAAAGCTGCAGGGCGAGGTGATTATACCATGTTAAATTGGATACAGAAACGATCTGACAATGATTCCACTGCACCAAATGCCCAACAAGAACCACAGTGTCCCTGCACATCAGAAAAACAAACATTTGAGTACTATATAGAGAAATCTAGCCAAATACTGCTAAGAGAGGCAAAAAAAAACTACTTACCTGATCTTTGGACCAAAAATACAATCAAACAGGACATGCATTAGAAATACGGAAATGTCAGTATCTGTCACAATGAAGAACCACTGATACTAGGATTTGGCTAATACTAACCAAGTATTCTTCCAATAGTGCTACACTGAGGCCAAGCTGTCCTAGCATCAAACTGTCTGGGCAGCCCCAAAGGTTTGCCATGAGATTTAACAGGAATATCTTTCATGGAATTTTGAGGCATCTGCTTCACTCCAAGAATATATTTGAATTGTGCAACCTACAAAACAATAGGAAGTAAATCAGTATGAGGCAACACCTTTCCTCATATTACGCAAGGTCGGATTAAAACTTGGACAAGGTTACCGAGTTGTTTCAAGCACTCACTGTATAATTGGAGAAGCGAGAGTTTATGGAAGCTTTCCATCCTGCATTAGGGTTTGCATTAACCTTCTGTACAATAGAATCCTGCCAAATAAAAAAGAAGTTGAGAATTGTTATCGTAACAAAAGCTAGAACGATGGAACACTAAAATATACATAGTTATGAGAATGTTCCCAAAGAAAATAGAGAAGGAAAAGACCTGAAGAATATTGGATTCTGTCTTGGCCTCAAGGATTGGTACCACGGCGACCACCTACAGGTACACAAAGCGGATATGTCAATTTAACTTCCACAATTTGTATTAGCTTCTTTTACATATTTGATGTCTCCATCAGCTCTTGTTCTATGGAAGGCACAAGAGTTTTTTTTTAAACAATTTAATATAATTAATTTAATAGTTTAGTTTAGATAAATGTTAAAGATTAGTATTCTCCAATACCTATTACTAAGTGAAAATTAGGATTGAGCGCACAGACACAAAAAAGAAACAGAAAAGGGGGAGGAAGAACACTCATACGACTGTTAATTTGTCTGGCATTAACTGAAGGAGGGTTTGAAAGCAGTCTAGAACCTTAAATAGAATGGATTTCTGAAATTCAAGAAGGTTCAAACATAGATGAAACCTGGCAGGCCATACCCAAGAACACTGGAAGAGAAAAGTGTTAAGGAATATTTGATGTATATTTGTTTCTATATGTAGACTATTCCCTTCCTTAGAAGGTACAGCATATTCCTCAATTATGCCGACATTATTCTGTTATTTCATACTATAATTTTATATGTAACTTGTATATAACTATGGTTAATGAAGGAATACAATCAAGCCTTCTTGCTCAATAATTCTTCTTCAGTTATCATGGGATCAGAGCCTAATCTCTAATCAAAAATCTTCAGATCCAATTCGGTTGTCATCCTCATCCGATCAGCACTCAAGTTTCTGGCATCATCCTCTCTGATCAGCATTTGAGTTCCTCTCTGATCAAAATTTGAGTTCCTTTGCCCACTCCAATCAGATATTGCCTTCATCTTTGATCAAACCTCCCGGCTATCGACTGCCTCGTCTTTGTCTCAGTTATCCTTTTCTGAGTACAAATCAGTTCCTCCGAGCATCAATCAGCTCCTTTAGCTTTTAAAGCTTTCACACTGGTTTCATCGGAGACTAGAGCTGCCTTTGACAACTATTTTCTTTCGGCAAAACTGCGCTTCTGTCCTTTTGTGCAAGGGCTAGCATGATTTTTTTCTGGATCAACGCCTCAAGCCCTCAAGCCTTGTGATTGAATATTTTTTTCTTGCCATTTTTGTGCAAGAGCATTGCGTGATTTCTTGCTGGATGAAGTTTTCTTTTTCGTTGTTGAAAAACAATAGCTGCAAATTTTATTGAAAATTTTCCTCAGCTTGATTTGAAATTCACAGGGACCAACTATCGTGATAAAAGGTCAATTTCTGTGCAACTTCTTTTCAACGTTCTTGATCTCATGAGTCAAATTGATGGCGTGCCTCCACTTAAACTGGCAGTGATGGTAGTGATGCCAAACAGACAGCCGCATGGGCTCTTGCAGACCATCGAGCACGCTGAATTATTTCTTCCTCCATAGAATTTGATATCTGTATGCAACTTGTCAGTTTCCAACGATGCGTGCAATGTGGCTCCAATTGCAAGGACTCTATCAGCCTATGTTGCATAGGTACGAGTACCGGTACGGTATGAGTAAGAGTATGGGAAATGACAAATTTGTAAAAGGTAGGTTTAGGGGGCACGGCTATATAAATATTTATATACACCCATATATTATATATTGGAATTAATAAGTTATATGAGAACAAGGATGAGAATAAAAATTCCTATAATATATTTATGTTTCTCTTATTATGTGAATTATAAATTGAAAAATCACTAGTTTTTGAACTAGGCATTCAAACAAGCTTCAAGAAGTGGATGTGAAGTGGATATATGTCCAGAAAATGTATGACGAGTGTTTTAATTTAAAACATGTATTTTATAATTAGGTACATGCCCGAATAAATGTATGCATACATGCAAGGAGTGTCCAAGGAGTTTGGGTACGGGTATGTGTTGGGTACGGGTATGGCTTCAAATTAGAAGTACCCAAGTAACATAGCTATCAACAGTCTAGCTATGCCCACTCGTATGTTGTTTACCAAGAACTCTCTTTAGCTCAATAAGATGAGTGATCCATCCAAGAGTTCTACAGTTCTGTGCAGGCTCAATGGCGTCAGCTTGCAATAATGGATGAACCTTTGTGCAAGGCTTGTTGGGCTTCTACATGTGCCACCAAGCAATGTCTTGTTCACGATCAACATCGATTATTCCAATTTCTAAAGCGTCTGCAACAAGAATACGAGTCATTGCATAGTCAAATTCTTCATCTATCACCACTACCCACTCTTAATGATACCTTAGCCGAGCTTATAGCTGAAGCAACACGTCAGCGTGCCTTGAGTACAAAGACCATTTCTACTCCGAATGTTCTTGTTGCTCAACACCCACCTGTTACTCAATCATCCCCGCCCACTACCTCAGCACCTTCAATTCCTATCAACACGCAGGGGATCAACAATTGTCGCTATTGTCTTCACCCTAGACATATCATTCAAAATTGTTTCAAGCGCCAACAAGATGAGAAATGACACCCTCACCAATAGCCGATTACTACTGTAGCTTTTTCCAGTAATAGATGTTGAGTCCCCTCAAAACCATATTCTTTTTATAGTGACCCTAGAGAATCTCAGTGTGTTTGGCTGCACTTGTCTCATTCTTTTACCATTACATGAACGAGACCAGTTGTCTCCTTATTCTGCCATTTGTGTTTTTCTTAAATAGTCTTAAGCACATAAGGAATGATCCAATTACAAAGAGACTTCGTGTTTCTTGAGATGTGACATTTCTAGAGCATATCCAATATTATTGTAGACAGTCGCTCGATGCCAATGATACATCATCGACTTCAATTGATCTTTCATTCCTTGAACTTACTAAAACCTTCTATTACGACAGATTCAGCATCAATATCACCATCTCCATCTCCATCCTCATCTCCATCTACTGATGATCATGAACATACATGCTCCACTTCCGTCTACTGACCATTCAGTCACTTCGGATAATCATTCTTCGCTAGTTGATCGCCGCTATTTAGTTGTCTTCAAACTTTACTCTACTTTTTTAGGCATTCTTGATGGCTATTTATTCACACCATGAGCCTACATCTTAGCCTCTTCTCCTGAGTGGCAAACAACTATGGCAGAGGAGTTAGCCGCTCTTCAGCAGATATGTACATGGGAGCTTGTCTCATTACCTTCAGGCAAAGTCCTGGTCAGTTGTAAGTGGGTTTACAAAATCAAAACTGATTTAGATGGCACCATAGATTGATACAAAGCATGTCTCATTGCTCGTAGTTTTACCCAAAAGAATGGCATTGACTATGAGGAGACTTCTGCTACCATAGCTAAGATGACCTCTGTTCAAGCTCTCATTCTCTACTAGCTTGATGTGAAGAATGCATTTCTTCACAATGGCCTCTCTAGTCTCTACTAGCTTGATGTGAAGAACGCATTTCTTTATGGTGATTCATGATGAAGTTTATATGCAACCTCCTTCAAGTCTTCCTCATTCTCTACGACAAGTTTGTCATCTTCGTCGTGCATGAAATGTTCTAAAATAAGATCTATGAGCTTGGTTTGAGAAATTCAGCTCTGCAGTACTTGGTATGTGTTTTATCTAGAGTAAGGCTAATCATGCCATGTTTTTTCATACTTCTAGTCAAGGTCGTCCTTCTCCTTTATGTTGATTTATGGTCATTACTGGAGATGACCCTTCATTTCTAGATACTATAAAGACTTCTCTTTATCAGAAATTTGCTAGATACTATAAAGACTTCTCTTTATCAGAAATTTGAGACGAAGGAACTAGTGCATCCTTGATATCTTCTAGGCCTTGAAGTTAGCATATGGGCCACAAGGATATCTTCTTTCTCAACAAAAAACACTCTGATCCCTTGGTTTGTGTCGAGTTGACTGATGACCAGATCATAAATTGGCACTTGATATAGGTGAACGTTTGGGAAATCCCACTAGGTATCATGAACTTGTTGGTGCTCTGGTATATCTCACGTAGAAATTGCTTATATCGTCCATGTGGTGAGCGAAATCGTTCAATCTCCCACATTTGTTCATTATGTCGTTGTACTTCAGGGTTTACACTATATTAGTGGTACTTTTATCTCGAGCTCTTTTATTCTCCTCAATGTCAGCGCAACAACTTCGGGCCTTCTTTGATTCTGACTAGGCACGATGATGCTACTGATCTTTAATTTGTTCCTGGATTTTGTGTTTCTTGGTGATACTCTTATATAATGGAGGGCTAAGAAGCTAGATGTTGTTTCTAAGTCTAGTGCTAAAGCTGAGTATCAAGCTATATCTAATACTACATCCAAGATTATTTGGTTGCAATAGCTTCTACGTGACATGGGCATTGATTCTCTCACACACTCCTCTCTAATGCGACAATCAAAACGCAATAAAGATTGCCATCAATCCAGTGTTCATGAACGCACAAAACATATTGAGATTGATTGTCATTTCATAAGCGACCATTATTTGAAGACTAGGTCAATGTCTCTACAATATGTTTGTTCGGAACTCCAGCTTGTTGATTTCTTCACCAAAACTCACACCTCCAAACGTCGTTAGTTTTCAAATAATAAACTCTCGGTGTTTGCTTACCGTGAGTTTGACGCACTCTTAGTGTTTTGATCCACCATGAGTTCGATGCCAGGGGGGTGCGTTAAGGAATATTTGATGTATATTTGTTTCTACATGTAGCTTATTCCCTTCCTTATGGGTACAATATATTCCTCGATTGTGCTGGTATTATTCTGTTATTTCATACAATAATTGTATACGCAACTTTTATATAATTATGGTTAATGAAGGAATACGATTAAGCCTTCTTCCTCGATAGTTCTTCTTCAATTATCAAGAAGAATATAATTGCTATGTAGAAATTCGGGCTCGATTGCTTGAAAGTAGGACGAGAGTCCTTCATCGAGGATGAAGGAGTGGATCTAGGGACCAATCTCAAGGACGTATACAGTTTTACTAGATCAGGAACCTGATTCAAGTAAAAACATTTAGTAATCAATGTTGACTTGGGAAATAGAAAGTAATGGAGAGAGATAAAGAAGGGTTGAAAATACAAAATCCTTTATAAATCCAAGGGGAGAAAAAATTTCTGAGGAAAAGACTTTACTCTTTTTTTTTTACGGATTTAGGAGTATTTATGTTATAATTAATAATTAATGTAAAGAATTGGAGGATTTATTTCAACGTACATAAATATATAATACATATAGTTGGGAAGACAAACATCTCAAAAAATGTTTATTTTTGACGATGATAGCCGCTAATGAAGGATGAGGAAAGAAAAAGAGAGACAGATTAGTTGAGCCGATGAGTTAGGAAAGCAAGCAAGGAAGGGAGAAAGGGAGAAAAGAGAGACACCTGCTGCCAAAGTTGGATCGGTGTGGCCAAAACAAGGAGCAGCAGAAGCACCGGAACCGATCTGACCCAACCCACCATCACTCTCTTTCCTTCTTGATCAGTTCTTCTCCTCTCTCTCTCTCTCTCTCCCCCTCTCTCTGTGGATCGCAAGGAGGAGCGTGTACACTTTGGATTCCTAATATTGTTACTTCGATCGATTGATGATATTTATTTATTTTATTTTTATATGAAAGACGTGCGTCAGGCGGAAACGGACGGGAGGGGGAATCTTTACAATAATAATATGACGGTGCCCCATCCGTGATTGGCCGTAACGGTTGGCGACCCCAAGAGAGCAGCGTTTATTACGGAACTACCCCATCTAGATTGCGTGTAGTATGCACGAACCTCTACGCCTATGTAGTGTTGCCACTTGCCGTGATATTTCCCTCGCTTCGGAAACAGCCAAAACTCCCCCCACAATCCGGCCTGACGATCTCCACATGGGATTTTTTTTTTTTTTCCCCCACCCATTTCTTTTCGGCCCTTCGGTTCGCTGGGTTTGAAGGGGGAGAAACGGGTGTGGAAACGCTGTCACCTCAGACTTTTTTCTCTCCCTAGTTTCCTTCCCCAACCGAGAGAAATCGAGAAAAATCCTGGTCACCTCTCACAATCGCACTCTCGTTTCTCTCGTTGATTCCTTTGGTGACGCTAGGGTTACCTCCTTGCTCTCCTCCCGCTAGAAATCTCCCGCGGCCTTCTTCGTCAACGCTGAAATTGACTCCTTCACCTTTCTCTCTCTTCCATTAGATTCATCTCCTCTTCCTCTTCAGTTTACAGATTCCGCGACAACAGCAATGGAGCTCTCGATCTCTCCTCTCCTCTCCTCTCCTCTCCTCGACGCCTACGAGCCCACCAAAATCCCAAATCTGCCCTCCTCGGTCGCCAGTGTGGCAGCGAGCCACTACCATTCTCTTGCAGTGACGACCGACGGCGAGGTCTGGGCACAGGGGAGAAACGTCGAGGGCCAACTTGGGAGAGGTGCCAACTCCCCAAGGTCGATCCTTTCCCTCGTTTTCTCCTTTGTTTTGGGTATAATTTCAATAAAACCATAATTCACACTTGTTTGAGGTCCTACAACGAAATGCAATGAGATTTGGTAGAGTTGAATAGTCAAATTTTAGATTGGCTTAAATATTTTGAACTTATTTTACCTACCATGGAGCGCTTAATTAACCAATTATCTAGAAATGATAGAAATTTGCATGGAAACCCCATGACATTTAGATGCTTGAATTGTTCAAAGGAAGTCTCATCTAACATGCATCTGAGGATGGAAATTTTTTACGATTATTGGGTTTTTTGTTGCTATTTGTGCTCGTCGTCAAGCTCCCATGATTGTTTTTTGTTACTATGTTGATTCGAGCTTGTTTAGCTCTATGTTGTTGGGTTTGTGGTTGCTATTTGTGCTCGTCGTCGAGTTCCCGTGACTGTTTTTTGTTATTATGCTGATTCGAGCTTGTTTAGCTCTATGTTGTTGGGTTTTTACGACCCATCTGTTCTCATCTGGTGTGAGCTTTGACGCTACATGATGGGATATTCTAAAGTTATGAATGAAGGTTTCTTTACTATCAACCAAGCGTATACTAAAATCATCAACATTAGGAATACCCTTGTTTAACAACTTCAGAAGAGCCTCCTCCTTCTTCTTGATTTTTCTGTTCTTCAACAAATCCCAACTGTATTCATCAGCCTTACAGTAGTACCTGATTTTTGGCCTCTCATCATCCTTGTGGTGTGTTATTGTAATTATCTCTAGACAAACTTTCTTCTTCTTTTCTTCAGTGAAAGGGGTTCGGACTAGCTGTGATCGCGTCCTAATCCCGGTACTTGGTCCCCTTGTCCCCTTTGAAATTAATTTCTTCGATCTCTTCTTATAAACGTGTGCCTCCTTTTTCTCCTCCTCTTTCTCTTCATCTTTCTTCTCTTATTTTTTCTCTTCCTCAACTTTCTCCTCCTCTTTCTCTTCCTCTTTTTTCTCCTCCTCTTTCTCTACCTCTTTTTTCGCTTCTTGTTTCTCCACATTCTCACCATCATCTCCTTCTCTTCAACTTTCTCCACATTCTCAACTTCCATATCTTGTCAGTCTTCCTTCTCTATCTCCTTATCTTCTTGCCAGCTTCTTGTTTTTTCTCTTCTTTTTCATTTATTTCCTTTTCCATTTGCACAACCTCCTCCGCATTATGACAAGCTTCCTTTCCAATATTGGTTACATCGTCATAATCGAAGCAACCAACATCGTCACCCTATTAATAGAATGAATATTATTTTCTCTTCTTCTGTGCAGCCTTTGTATGCCTATCATTCTGGGATATAATAGTCTTCACATTCTTCTTCAGGTCTTCGGGGTCAATCAGGTCAGCAGTTCCTTCATAGATCTCCAATGTCCTGTTAAGTCGTTTTATCTCCTTGGAGCAAGCATCCCATTGAAGGCGCTTGCTACGCTTGACAACATGAAGCAATTTCCAATTTAGTTTGGTCGTATTCCTCCAAAATTGAATTTACTCTTCACTTAGTAACTTCTCTATCTCATCTTCTCTTTCAAGAGCATCACTGATATGTTGGGAGAAAATCTGAAAAAATAACCATAATACCCATTACCCACATAAAATCTACAAAATTAAGGATAATAGTAATGAAAATCCACAAAATTTGAAATGTTAACATGTAAGAATGAAAGTTAACATGTTAATCTAAAAATTAACATGTACATAATTTAAGTTAACACGTAAGAATAACATATAACATGTAAGCATGAAAGATAACATATAATGGTAACAATTATCATGATATGTTATTTATTCACATGTTCTGCTGAACGTTTACATTTAACACTAACTCGACATGAAACAATATAATTATCTCGGTCAACACGCGCGCATCAATCAACACGTGCACGTCAACCAACACGCGTTCGACGGCCAGTCCCGCAATGAAGCGTACAAGTCAACAAGACGATAAATTACGCGAAACAGGAGAAACTATAAGTCTCGGAAAAGTCAGGAAACATACAAGTTCGGCAGAAGCGACGGACCCGCGCTAGCCCGGGACGGAACAGACCAACCCGCGCAAGCGCGGGTCGGTTGATTCCGACCCGTGCATGCGCGGGTCGGATGTGACCGACCCACATAAGCGTGGGTCGGATCTGTCTGACCCGCGCCGCGCAGTCTGGAGCCCGAAACATGTTTTGGCGGTTTTTAAACGGTTTTTCCTAGGATTTATCTGTTCCAGGGGTTGTTGAGGAGTCAAAGGAGCACGAATTTCAGCGAGGGTTGACAGATCTTGGCGAGTTCTTCGGCATAAAGAAGGAGAGTTCGAGTGATCCGACGCCCGTTTTCCCTATTTCCTTGAGATCGGGCTTGGTCTTGATCTCGAGAAAAGCTACTGATTTCACTTGGTCAATCTCGGCGCTTCAAATCAAATACTTCCTCGGCGAAGGCGAAGCTCTGCCAAATTTTTCATCAACCGGATCCAGATCTAAGGCGGTCCACGGATAA